GGAAACGTAGTCGACGCCCACACCGCTACCGACGGATGCGGTGGCGGCTGAAGGCCTCGTCGCCGCGCGCGCCGCAGCTGGCGGCGGCACCGCAGCGGGGCCGCGGCGCCCGCACGCGCGCGCCGGCGGCCATAGCGGGCGGCCGCGCACGCGGCCCAGGCTCCGCTCGAACCCGAGGGGGCTGAGTCGTCGTCGGTCAAAGTTGCAGGGGCCCCCCGGATGGGATCGGAATGGATGGGGTCGGAGGATCTCGCCGCATCGCCGATGCATCGGCGATGCATCGGCGACGTCGGCGATGCAGCGGCGACATCCGCGTGAAGAAGATCGGGCTTCACATCGAGCCGCATCGCCGATGCATCGGCGATGCGGTGCAATTCTCCGACCCATCAATTCCGATCCCATCTGGGAGGCCTAGAGGTTAGGAGGCAACTTCTGGGAGGCCTTCGTACAAACAACTGAGGGCTGGTACGCCAGACTACGGGGCCATTGAGCCAAACCAGGCCATCATGAACGGGGGATGAAGCCGATTTGCACGGGCGTAGCCCGGATCAAACGGGGACTATGCCGGGTTAGGCTGGTTCCCGACCGCGGAGATACGGTCGGATCTCCGACGTGCGTGGACACGCGGTGCAACTGCCCCTCCCTCCAGACACGCGGGCACGCCTTGTGAAGATCGGCCGATACTGCCCAAAGGGCCCTGCCTCGTATCATCGCCTGCGCTGCCAGCTCGTGCAGGACTAAGACGTCCCGAAGACAGCACCTAAGCCCTCGCCCGCTGGCATAGGATGGTCTCCTGAAGCAAATCGAATTGCGTCTTCATGGAGCGGGACTGCGAGAGGGCATAAAGAGAGGGAAATCTTTCCGTAGATCAATATAGAGATAAACAATTATCCCAGTGCGACCCTACCTAGGAGTTGGAGCCCCTAGGGAAGCAGCATTAGTAGTAAGAGTAAAGCTAAGCTAAAGCTAAGCTAAAGCTAAGCTAAAGCTAAGCTAAAGCTAAGCTAAAGCTTAGCTAAAGCTAAAGCTAAGCTGAAGCTAAGCTAAAGCTAAGCTAAAGCTAAAGCTAAAGCTAAAGCTAAAGCTCCCAGGGGACTGGGGGAATCGCGGGGCGGGGACTGGGGGAACCGCCCGGGGCGATTTCCACTGCCCGGCCCCTTTAAGCTAAGAGAGTAAGAACCCTTCTAGGCAGAGCCTAGGTAGGGAAAAAAGGAACAGAGACACACAGAGCTATATATATAGTGAGAGAGACAGAGAGAGAGAGAGAGACATCAACTAATACCCATGCTGGTAGTGGAAAGGAGACCCACGTGTGGCATGCGAAGGGGCGAGGACACTTTCCCGAGCGACCGGGTAGGTTCGGACTGGAGAAGCACAAACGCACAATGGGAATCTTGTGTGTAACCAAATGGTACGCGGGGATGGCGGGTCAAAGCAACGGAACGGACCAGTGGAGAGAATACAGCAACTGGTACACCTTTGCTCGAAAATAACTACAGCCGAACATGTGATCGGGCAAACTATCGCGTAATAAATCTGGTCCAACTTTCCACAACTATTTCTCGAAGCAAGCCTAGGGCAACATCTGCGGTTAACGCTGGACGGGCGAACGTGCTCAACAAAGTGGGCCAGCTTACTGGCAAGTTGGTCAAGACATGCTCGCCCAACTTTTCGGGAGGAGGCTCCTGAATCAGATGCTCGGCTGCACGACAAGAGTGGGTTTTGTGACACGGCCCGGGATGAGGGAAGAGTGGGGGGGACAAGCTAGAGCCAGGTGCCCTCGCGGCATATCTGACATCCTACCCCTTCCAACCATCTATTCCGATTGCGCTGTTGTTTCTCTATCCGCCGACACGTACCATAGCGGACCTGGAACTCTAAAGATAACCCAATCGTGTTATGCGCAGTGGGAAAAGCAGGGAGCTGCGAGCATTGGACGAGGAGGTGGCGGATGAACAGGAGGATGAGCCATGAGGAAAAGGAGGAGGATCAGGAAGGAGGACGAGGACGAACAGTAGCAGCAGGAGCTGGAGTGGAAGAAGCAGGAGGGACAGGAAGACCAGGGGAAGACGAAGGGGAACCGGCGGGGTGACAACAACGAAACCATACTCAAATCCGGAATCGTAGCCCGCGCTGGGTCGCGGGGCCGCTGCTTGTCCCTTTCTCGTGCCGCGGCGCGGGTCCCCGCCGACTCTGGCTACACGGGGGGGGCTTGGGAGCCAGCGACCACGGCGAAGAGAACGGCGCGAGAGCGGTGGAGTGGAGTTGTTGGGCAAAGGAAGAGGGGGGGAGGGATTGTGAGAGAGGTGATGTGGAACATCCTGGAGGACTCGCGCGGCAACTCGAGACCTAATGTACATCGGATGCACGTTGGGCTTACGTCGGACTGCGTCAGATTTGCGTCGGATGTATGTCCGACTTGCGTCAGTTTCACGTCGGAACATCGCCGCCCGACTGTCGACCCATATCTGACGGAGCGGCCGTGCGGACTAGACAATGAACTATTGCGCGCCGCGCGAATCCTCCAGGGAGGTTGAGAGAGGGGCTGCGAGGAGGGGACTCATCCAGATCCACCGCCCCGGGAGCCGAGGTCAGGGGACCCCAGGGGGCGGCGGATTTGGGCGGGCTTTTGTTTACAGCAAATACCTCCGACACACATTAAAACTGTATTGGGCTTCTCCCGGCGCCCAAAGTGCGCCCAAGTGCAGCATGGGAGTGCGTATCGTCGTACCTTGAAGCGTCGTAAGCTTGCAGGATATTTGGGCCCCAGGTAAACCGAAAATATCCACATACACCGCCTCCCGAGGTTCAGGAAGGTCAATTTCACATGTAGTGGATTTGAATAAGTCCAAGCCTCGGAGGGACAGGGAGGAGGAGGGGAGGGACGAGGAAGGATGGAGGGGGAGGGAGGAGGAGACAGATAAGAAGCAGGAGAGAGGAGGGTGAGAAAAGCGGTTCTCTCGCGGTCGTCTCGGATGGCGGGCAAGAGTCTGAGAGTCGGAATCGGGCTGCCAATGTCGATTGAGACTTTGGCTGAAAAGTGGCAGCCCTTCTCGACGAGAAACCTGACTTGAGCGGGGCCGCACAAATCGCTGTGCATTATTCTTGAGATCGTGCGACCCAGCTCACTCACCGCAGGGGTTTGGGCTGGAATCTGAGCGCCCGCCTCGCTAATTCGGGATTTTGGAATGGAATCGGACAGCAGAAGCTCTGCTTGCCTCAGGTACGCAACACAGCGAAGACAGTCTAAGACCAGAGAAGAACGCATCGGCAACCACCAACGGGCCTTGGTGATCTGGGTGTCGCCACATGGCCGCCTCCTTCGCCGCCTGAGACTCGGGAGGACGTCCCGAGCGAGCCATCGCCTCAGCCTGCTCGCGCTTGCCTGCGATCATATTGTGGCGAGTGGCGCAGCCTCGGCGAAGGCGTCGAAACAGCCGCGGAGGGGAGGACCAGCGCATCCCTTCCCGCGAGGAGCTCCTCGTGCACGACCTGGGCGGTGGCGCACAGCTGACCACCCTGGCCAAGATGACTCCCCTCTGACCGATCACTCCTTGGGTGCCAGAGTCCTCCAGGACCACTCCGGTCCAGGGAGAAACTCCAGTTGGGGCCCCCGACGCGCGAACTCCAGGGAGTTACCCTTGACCCCCCCCAGCCCCCATGATTCGCGAGTGGTTGGACGCCCTAGCGTTCCAGGATTCACTTTGGGCGTGGCTTAACGGGGGAGTCATAAATGGGGGGGTCAGAAACGGTCCCCTTTCGTGCCCCTTTCGGGCCCCTCCGGAGCCCCAGGGGGCTCGTTTAGGTACCGTTTGGG